CTGCACCTTAACTCACCCATTAGTATTCCTTGCTGTGCTTGGTCCAATTGTTATTTTGTGCCTCATGTGCAGAAGTGAGCAGAATTGTGGAAGACCTTTGTGTGGGTTTTAGCATGTAGGCCGTTGCAGTCTGCTTCCTCCACTGTAGGTGGCACAGCTGGAGAGGAAGTCAGGAAAATCCTGATTTCTCTATGGTCTCCTGGTCCCTGAGGGCAGTGTTCTAGCTGGCTATGCTGCATCCAGGTGACCACTGGAGCCAATTTTGGGTCAACAGGGTCAGAGTAGGGCAAGATCATCCGTCTGTCAGGGAAAGTGATTAGTGGCAGGGAAAGGTTCCTGACAAGTAGGAACAGACTAGGAACAATCCTGCATGGAAGCCTCCCCTTTGGGACCAGACTGGACAGGCCACATATTGCCTTCTGAAGACAGACACTGTTGGTGCATCTTACCCACTTGCCTCTCTGCACTGAACTGTGAGTGTTATCGAATGTGGTGCTCTCCTGCTCGGGTTGTTTGTAGTCGAGCATACACAATACACTTCAATACAAGTTTTTGAGTTATCTGCAACCGGACTTATCACTGCCGGCACACCATGCTGCACCTACCCGCAAGCATATGCAGGGTCTTTTGGGAATTGACAGATCCTTTGTGGTGAAACCCCTGTCAACATATGGCTAAATGTTAGTCTTTGTTAGTACAGTATTAAAAGAAATAATAAATTTTTCATAAAAATAGGTAGTAATTAAAATTATACAGAATTAAAAAAACACAGGCACTGGCTCAGATCACCAAGCCCCACCTATATTTAAAATGTCACCTTGAGGTTGACTGGTCCTTTAATAGTACTTATTTAGCTTCAGGATACACAGATGGAATACTGCAATGGCCTGTTACCTCTCTGATCGGACCAGCAGTGATCAGAGTAGTGCAAGCCTGATATTTATTCTCACATTTGCTTTATATCTAGAAATCTTCTGTATATTTCTACCTTTCTAGATGCCAAATTACCAGACCTGCAGTTGTAGACTTTGTGGGTGCATTTATTTTGTGAATTGGAAAGGTACAACAGATACAGCTCTGTAAACAGACAATCACCTTCCCGTTTTCTGTTAATATTATCACCTACTGAGTCTTCTCAGTTTCTATCTGGATTATTATCTGCTGAACATAATAAGAATTCCAGCCACTCCCTGCTATAAATGTCTTTACATTTCATGCGTCACACAGCACAGTTACGGATCACAACCTTTTAATATCCTTGTTAACTGCTTGCTATTTCAAGTATGTATGGTAGTGTTTGTTTATGTGTGTTTATTCTGGACTAGATACAGTTTTACTGAATGATGATGGGAAACTGCTAGCAAAATTGTATTGACTGGATTCACTGTTTGTCTTTCGTTAAGCATTCCTCGCCATGCTATCTAAACAGATTTGGGTTGTAGAGCATGAGGATATGGAAGATCATAAAGAATCAATGTGTTCTGTATGTCTTTAACATCCATTTGATAACAATAAGCAACAGGTTAAATTAGTCAGTAAATTGCTGACACATACCAAAATATGTGAATAAGGTTGCAATAGATCATTGTTTAGCTGGCCATACACATGGCAAATTTCAGGCAATTTCAACCACTTTTGATCAACCAGGACTATGATCAAAAGTGATTGCTTGAAACCAGTTAATTTACCACCCATGAGATTGGTCGTTCAACCAAATTTTAGGATTATAAATTGACAGCTTCAACAGAGGTTATTGAAAAAACCTATTAACACGAAATAAAATGATGGCAATTTAGTCCAAAGCAGTTTTCCACTGGGTTAGATCGATGCTACTTTAATCCCATCTCCTTGCAGTCGATCATGATCACTCATTTCCTCATTGCTCAGGATTTATATTCGATCTTGATCGAAAGTGGGTGGATATGTAGGAAATTTGTCATATTTATGGCCATTTTAAAGGTTCAGTAGACGTGCATTGTTTTCCAGTGTATGAAGTGCATTTCAAATTCATGTCAAGCGCAGGGCAGTAGATTCCTATTTACTTTGGTTATGCAGTGTAAGTGAAATGTCTGAAGCTGCATATGACCTGCTTTGCATTTCTTTGGATACAGTCGGTTATACTGAATATTATAAATTTACTTGTGAGCCAATAAGGTGTATAATAAACGGCTTCTATCAATAAGATCGCAGGCTATCTTGCTCAACCTCATAAATGTGAGTTATCAGTGCATACAAATGAAGAAAATATAGATGCCGCGCTCTATCAAGACCTATTACCTGTATATAGTATAAAAACTGTATTTGCATTAAATCTCTAATAGCTGCATGATCTTTTATGTGTAACCATACATGATTGTAATACCAATAAATACCCAAACATGTGTTGATAATAATGAATAAATGAATTAGAAAAATATATATCAAAATTGGTGATAAAAAAAAACAAAAAAAAAAAACCACAAAACAAAAAAAAGTCTGTGCAAAATTATTCAAATTTGTGTCTTTCGATGATTAAATAAATATTCAATTAAGAAATAAATATCAAAAATAAAAATTGAAAAATATGGAAAATAAAAGGTAAAAATTCAATGAATTTTGTGCAAAAATGCAAAACAAACTTGGTGCAGAGTTCAGCAGGGATGAAATATCTGTGTGCTCTCCTTCCAATCAGCCTGAGGTGATGCAGGTGAAGGTTGTAGATAGAGGGCTACTATGTAAGCCTGGATGGTCATATGGATCTCTCCCTCCTCAGATCTTTCCTTGATCCAGCCCTTTAAGTATTCCTCGTACGGATCATGTAAATAGAGAAATTTGCATAGTGCTTTATCGTTGATAAAAATAAACACTTTAACCACTTCCCGACCGGCCGTTGTATATAAAACGGCCGGACGGTGGCACTGCAGGGTCGGGTGGCCGTCTATAAACGGCCTCCCCACACCCTGCTTGTGCGCGCTCCCCTGGGAGCGCGCAGCACCGCGATCCGGAGCCCGCTGTGTCCTCCGGACACAGTGAAACACCGATCGTCGGACGGGACCTCTGTACGAGGTCCCGATCATGTGATCACTGATTGGCCAATCAGTGATCACATGCAAAGTAGTAAGCAAGATGTCACTTCTGACATCATTGCTTACTATGTGTGAAATCTGTGAATGATCACAGAGGTCACATGGTACAAGGCTATTCACAAAAGCCTTGTACCATGTGACAAGGTGTGACCAATCACAGCTCACTCTGTATTTCTCAATGAGTGCAGGAATGCACACAGAGAGAAAGAGAAATGATTGCTTTTACATCCTATATGGGTATAAAAGCAATCAGTGTAAAAAAAAAAAATCTTTATCACCCCTCACAAGTAGTACAGTGTCACCATGGTGACACTGTACTGCTAGGGTGACAGTAAAAAAAAAAAATTAAAATAAAAAATAATAATATAAAAAAATAAAATAAAAATGTAAAAAAAAATGTTTAAAAATTATAATTTTTGCTTATAAACTAATTTGGATTTTTTTTTTTTTTTACTAAAAAGATAACGGAATAAATTTTGGCTAAGATTTATGATGAAATATTATTTATTTGCAAAATTTTATAAAAAAAACACTTTTTTAAAAAATTTTTTTGGACATTTCATTTACATAGCAAAAAAAATACAAATCCCAGTGGTGAATAAATACCACCAAAATAAAGCTTTATCTATCTAAAAAAAAATGGTAAAAAATTCATTTGGGTACAGTGTTGCATGACCGCGCAATTGTCATTCAAAGTGTGATAGCGCTCAAAGCTGAAAATTGCCCTGGTCAGGAAGGGGGTAAAAGTGTCTGGTCTGGAAGTGGTTAATATGCGCTCAATATGCACTCACATTGATTGAAAACAATCTGCACTTTGTATAATAGCCGCTTAAAGCGGTGAAGACCAGCCTCTCGGGTGTGCTCGCATACACTACCAGTGCTCGCCGTGTAAGGATGCGTGGTGATGTCACTGCCCCTCCCCAACGCGTATCTCCACAAGGATTCGTGGCTTCGTCCGGGGGATGTACTGGTTATACTGAGATGCATTTGCTTTGCAGGTCTTTGAATGAGAAGTTTGAGGTTTGCACAAAAATAAACACACTTACTCACTCCTGTGCTGCAGCGTCAGTGTGATGCTGCAGCTGTCCCATATCAGCTTTAAGCTTAGTGATTGCATGACCACTAATCACTCAGTTCTCACACACTGAGTTGACTCACACTGAGAGGCTGGCAGCTGGGTGGATACCAACAATATTGTTGGGATCCTTCCAGAGCCTGGACCGGCTCTGCCATACTTCTCTTTTAAACGTGCGTGTTTGAGCATTGACATGTAAAAGGAAGCATTGCATAAAAAACACCCATGATACAACAATGGAAAACACCAGTATGAGTGATTGAAGGCCAGTTAGATGATGTAGGCATCCAAAAGGATTTAACTAGCAGGGTACTAAGTGCAAAAAAATGAACTTTAGGACCACTCACCAATCCAGCTTTGTACCCTCAATTTAAAATAATCTCTTGTTACGATAAATATGGAGGCTTCCATTACTGGCCCTCTGAAAATTCTAATTGTCCTCCTGTTATGGAGATCTCTGTCTTCAGCACTGACCTGGAACAAGTTCAGGAGAGTCACAGAAAAGTCACCAGTTCTATGCATACTTGCACTTAGTGATATCAGCATTGACAGCTCCTATGCTTCTCAGTAAAGGTGAATGCTGAATGTGTATATTTGCCTGAAATAGACCATTAGACATATTAATGGCTATGTACTTGGCATTGTGCTTATGGCAAGTGTTCCGTACAGCAGGTATTCTGGTAGGTGTGTATTGAAAACCTGTTGAAAAGTTGCTGCCACAACAAAGGTACAGTAAGTATGACTCACAAACAACCACTTGGAGGCCACTTATGTAAAAAGTCTCTGCTTTTCAGTGCAAGCCTAAAGTATTCTGTTGGTTTTAAAGCTCAATGTGACTGATGTATCTGTTTACTTGATAGAATATCTTAACTAAAGTCGAGGAGGGCTCAGAGCGAGAGGCATCAGCACTGCAAGACCGCGAACTGGAGAAAAGAAAGAATCACTTAGAGGGGTGATGTATAAACCATATGAAAAATGAAGCTAAGAAACATTAGGGGAAAAAAACAGAAGCCAATGTTTGTAAATGCATCACACCAAATTCCCGAGAAATAAACTGTGACTCATTCGATAAAAATGACCCATACTGCTGTAAGAGATGTATAAATAGTACAGTACACATATGAAAGGATGGAGAGTTTTTCTAAGCCCAAATCAATGTGGCACTGAATGTTAATGTAACACTGGGCAACTGATTTAGTCCTCTGAGTAATATCCTGCATTATTATTCTGAAATGGCAATTTTTACATGTTTTTTTTTACCTCTTTATATTTAGAACACATTTAGCTTTACTGTTTGAAAAAAAAAATGGAGAAAACCGGAAGAAATGTAGTGATTTCCTAATGTAGGCACTTAAATTTCTTCTTTAATTTTCCAGATATTAAAAGTAGAATCTAGATTTATCACCTTTGGCAACACATTTTTCAAGATCTACCCCTACCGATGACATGCATTTTTATTATTACACATGACTTACAACATGAAGTGATTTTTTTCTACACATGACTTACAGATTGGAAAGAAGCATACTTCTATGTTTTCTTGTACACCACTACCAATTGGACACCAGCTAAATTACAATTTTACAGCACTCAGAGGGCTGCAATCTAGGGCCTAGATAGACCCAGTGATCCTTTTTTAAATATATTTTTTAAATTAAAAACAAAAACTTTGTTGTGTCCTCTTTAAAAAATAATTTTATTTCTAGGTGTACAGGCACATACAATTTCAGGTGGCATTGGCATAGCTTTGTTTATAAACAAAGCCATGTGCACTTTTATGTCATAGCTGACATGATGATGACATGATTGTAAACTATGCTGGTTGTTTTCTGATCATTGCTGGAGACCTGAACCTGCCAGTGACAGTCGGGGGTCACAGCAGTGCATGCTTCTAGCTGTAATTAGGAAACAAAAGATTAGCTTACCATCCTCTCCATCCATACATGGCGTTGCACAGGGGACATTAATCTACAAATTGCAGATGAGAAAGAGCATTACAAACAAATAAAGATATTCACCAACCCAGCGGATCCAGCATTGTCCTGCTGATACCCTATTCTCTGCAGTTGCTAATCTGGTCCCGCTTCACCATCTTCTCCTGGGATTGCATCGGAGGACTGCTGACTCTTCCAGGCTCAGGCACCACCTCCTGATGACACGCCACTAGGCCCACACCAGTCCTCCTTTACCCTTAGTAAATAGAATGTCTGTAGTGCTCCTAGTGCCTCCTGAAATATGCATGTCACATATCACAGAAGGCACATAGGGCACCAATGTCATTCACCTAGGCAATTTGGGAGCACTGGGGATGGAACCAAGACTGCTAAAATAAAAAAGTAAAACAAAAAAAGGGTGATAGTTTTGCAGAGGACGGGGGTGGCATGGAGAAGGGCAAAGTTATTTTTAATGTGAAGATCTGCTTTAAGCATGCTTTGCTGGATGGATTTCATGTCTCTGAGGTCTTTATAGTGTATATATCTAATGGGCTTGCCAGTTCAGTGTTTGACGTCACCTCCTTACTTTGGAACCTGATTGGTTATTGTAGTCCACACCACATCTTTCCTCTTTACTGGTTTGCAACTTCCCATAAACAAGATCCCTTAACTGTATTGTATGTATATGTCTCATTGACTGTCTCTTCTGGCCTGTTTAGCTTGTACGAGCCTGTAATGATGGAGTCAGGAAGATGAGTCGTACAGAGCAGCTTATCAGCATAGAGAAGACACTTGAATTTAAGATCAAGGTATGGGATCTCTCCTCTCCAATGGTGGGGAAATATGAAAACTCCTAATCTTATTATTTCACAAGAAGACATTTGAGGGTTTACAATGTAGGGGAAATTCTGTAAGTGAAAAAGATTACTGTTTCGCTGTTGTCTGCTGCTGTGGATGAACTACAACAGATCCTTTGTTCCTGTCTCTTCTTGATCACAGTGTGTGTCAGATTATCTCTCCATTGACACCAACAAGAATATCTTCCCGCACATTCTGTACAGGTAGAGCAAGATGTTGACTAATGTCAACATCATGACAGAAATCTTAAACTGGTCATACACTGTTCCAATTTCGGACGGTTTTGGGAGCTGGATGAAATTTGCTTTGCTGGTAGTCATGTCTGTTGCCTCCCACCAACATCCCTCATTTGAAAAATCAAAGGAGCCAGGCAGAAAATCGTCCATCTGCACTGTATAGCATAGATGGAGAAATTTTTTTGTAGAGTTCCAGATTGAAACAAAAACATCTTTAGGTATATGTCCAGTTTTAGATGAAGCTTTGCTTTAAAAAGTTCCATCAATATGACTGTACACAAATTCAAATTTGAACTATTGTAATGTGGGTACATTTATCAGGATAATTGCACAGAGCCATCCTGGCTTACCCCTTTCAATATATCCTCTGATCTTTCACTATGTTATTACATTATTAGATTGCAATGATGCAGTAATTATCAATGACTGTACATAATGCAGGCAGAACCCTGTATGAAAAAATGAGTTATTGCTTCAATTCATTACAATACTAAATATATCAAATTTACTAAATGTGTAAAGGTTTTCAGCTAAATAGCATTTTTGACCCAGTACTTTGTTGTCTTTTTTTTTTTTTCCATTATAAGATGCTTTTAGGTAACATAACAATTTGATCTAAGGAGCCACTGTTGGATATCTCATTCCAAAACCAAAGGCATTAAAGGATAAGTTCAAACTAATAAATGCGCATATTTGACAGAAATAAAAATTTACATTATTATTTTTTCCCACAGGAGCCTGCAAAGCATTGCACCCACAATCAGTTGATTGTGGGCGCTACATCAGGCTTCTGCAGACACATTCTCCAGCTTTCTTGCCCGTATCTCCATATGAGTTTTCTGTTTGAAAGCTGGAGGAAGTGTCACTGGTCTACAGTCCACTGAGAACTACAAGCCATCTGCCACTTTGCCAGATGGGACTTGTAGTTTATTCATTCACACAGATTGCTGTTATTAAATCCTGCAGATGTGCAGGCAGAACCCTGCATAGCTGTGCTGATTCTGAATGTGACAGTGGGTGTGGGGGGAGAAGAACTCCCGCCCAATGTTATGGGGATGGGGTGGTGCTGAAATGAACGTAGCCTTTAGTTAGCCCCACCTTTCAGCTATAATAACCTTTACTCTCAGTGGAAGGCTTTCTATAAGATTTTGGAGTGTCTGTGGGAATCTGTGCTCATTCAGTCAATAGAGGATGAGAACTGACATTGGATAAGAAGCCCTGGTCAGCAAATGGTGCTCTAATTAGGGGAGTAAAATTTCCAGAAATTTTAAAGCCATGGGAAAAAACGTTTTTTCCTCTGTTTTTTCCCAGAAAATGTGAAAAAAAAAAACAGTCAGTATGGAGTAGTTTTACAAATTGAAAGCCTTTTTCTTACACTGGGAGCATGAAATGCAGTATATATAAAAGTATTATGCTTGAAAGGTCTGAGAGGAGGACAAAAACTAAACTACTGTATCCCAACAATCACCCAACTGTAAGAGGTACAAGATGGAGCCCACAAGCAAACTAAACTGGAGCCTTTTCCCTGCAGTGCCCCCTAGTGGCAGAAATGCATATTTATCTTCTTTGAGAACTGCATTGAGAAGCAGGTTGTTATCTGAATTGTATTCTAGGATTTTCTTATCTGAGATAACTGAGCAATAATTTAGGACTTTACATAAAGTGTCAGAAATTTTTCATGTTATAAAGTTTGAATACCATGTCATAGATACATTATTTATCATGGTAAAAGAACATATTTTGTGCTTCTTTTTTTTAATGTTTCTAGGAAAAAAAGACAGTTTTACCCAATTTTTCAGTTTTTTTTTCTCAAGGCCTTTCTATCTCTAGTTCTAATGTATCCCTAAAGTGCTCATTAGGTTTGGGGTCAGTTCTTCTAATCCAAATTTGTCAAAACACGTCTTTATCAAGCTGCATTTGTGACAGGGGCACAGTCATGCTGGAACAGTAAAGGGCCTTCACAGCACTGTTGTCTTAGGTTGATAGCACACAATTGTCTAAAATGTCTTTGTATGCAGAAACAATGAGTAGCATTCATTGGAAAGATCAAATTTGTTCTGTACCTTGTAGTGCATGACACCTGCCTCCAGCCCACGATACAAAAATAAGGGACCATATGACTTGCCAGCAGGCCCTTATAGAAACACAGTCTTTACATAGCCACTTCCGCTGGTTAGGGGCTAGAGGAGAGTACTATTACAGAAAACAGTAGGAGTTAATGTATGCTGCAGCTAACATCTGCAGGTCTTTGTTTATATCGTGAGCAGTAAATGCAGTACTGTAAAAACTTGAACTGTATAGAGCTTGAAGGGAAAGTAAATGACAGTCAGTGGACTTGCTGAAACAATTTCCCTGCTCAGATGTTTTTAGTAGAAATATAAATAAGATCTGAGATCAATCCATCAGAATAAGCTGACAGAAGTAGAAGCTCCATCTAATGCTCTGTTGGGGGATAGTCATATATCTTCCCATTTTAGGAGAGACTAAGCCATGATGAAATAATAATAAAATAATAAAATGTCTTAAAGTTGAACTCCAGGATTGAGACAAAATGTACCATTGCAGTGCCCCCTCCTCTACACTGCAAGGGTTAAATGATCATTTAGTGTAGGGGTGCTAGGATAAGGTGTATTACTAATAAAAATCCCTGCTTTGGCAGGCTCAAGTGCTGTCCTTAAACTTCAGGCTGTAGGCAGTCCCTCAGTGTCATCACACACAGTGCAGGACTATAAATCCTGCATTGGACATGAGGAGGCAAGCCTGTAGGTAGGGTCTAGGTACCTTGCATTGGGAGGAAATACTCGCACACATTATATAGAGTACAGATATCATTATACATAACTCAGTGGAGTCTGTTGGCAGCACAGATAAATTGATCTTCAGCACTGGTATTTCAGGATCCAGGATCCAGAGAATATACAGTCTCCGTATTTTACGGGTGATATTACTGGAGGATGGTTTCCATTACCAGGGGCAGTGTCCCTTGCTGGCATAAGCTGTAAGATGTTTCTGCAGTCTGAGCTGGATCCACACCTTCGTACTGCTTACCAGAATGTACACAGTGAAGAATTCCCTGAACTATACTTCTTCTTCTGGAGCATAGGCGAAACACTGTCCCTCACAAGCGGGTTTCTTTCCCTACCACACACTTGCCAAAGGCATGCCAAAATAACTTCGGGTACCGCACTCAAGAAGGCTACTAAAGTGTCATGAGAGTTCAGTGTTCAATCAGGCTACGTTCCTCTATCAAGACACTGGACAGAATCACCAAGGGATCAAATTTCTTACAACACTCCCCTTCCCTTGCAATGATGGCAGGGAGCCACTTTACAGGTGGGAAGGCTAATTACACCGGCCTACAAGCCTGTGACTTCAGCCCAAAGCTGTTTAGAGAGGATGAATGCTTTGAGGGACCCTGCCAGAGCCAGGAATAGGGCACTAAACCTTATCCCAGCACTTCTAGACTGAACCAGCATTTGACCTTTCTAGTACAGGAAGCTCCACTGCAAGGGTAGATTTTATCTCATACCCTGCTTTAAAAGATTGCCTGTGTACAGGGCCCCTGTGCCTACACTAAAGCCAAAGCCAAAGCCACACCCACACAACACCCCACGTACATAATGCAGCTCAACTGCATAGAAAGGTAATTAAAAATAATTTAAAAAATAACAGAACAACGTTGTGGGGTCCCCCTCCCATTCATACCAAGCCCTTTGGGTCTGGTATGGGTTTTTGAGGGGAACCCCCCATGCCAAAATAAAAAAAAATGGTGTGGGGTCCCCCCAAGATCCATACCAGAGCCTTATCCGAGCATGCAACCCAGCAGGTCAGGAAAGGGGGGGGATGAGTGAGTGCCCCCCCGAACCATACCAGGCCACATGCCCTTAACATTGGGGGGTGCTTTGGGAGGGTTCCCCCCCCAAAGCACCTTGTCCCCATGTTGATGGGGACAAGGACCTCTTCCCCACAACCCTGGCCTGTGATTGTGGGGGTCTGCAGGCAGGGGGCTTATTGGAATCTGGAAGCCCCCTTTTAGCCCCCCAGATCCCGGCCTCAGCCCATGTGAATGAGTATGTGGGAGTACATGGTAGCGCTATCCATTCACAATAAAAAAAAAAAAAAATAGTGTAGTGTGAAAAAAGACAGGAGAAAGTCTTTGACAAGTCCTTTATTAAAAGAAGAAAAATAAAAGCATGTCCCCAGAAGTAGATCCAACGTCAGTCATGATGCCCACCGCTGGGGCCACCCAGTGACATCACGCGTGTGACCCCACCTCCTTGTGACATCATTGACCCAGCATGCCCTGGAAGATGACACCACAAGGGGTGGGATAACACACGTGATGTCCCCAGGTGGCCCTGCCCCTTACATATTTAAGAACTGTCAAGCCAGCGGAACAGTTAGATGGCTGGGAGCCAGAGTCAGGAGCGGTTGTGGGGAAGAGGCATGTGAGGGCATGTTGCCTGGTATGGTTCAGGAGGGGGGGTGCTTGCTCATCCCCCCCTCCTTTCCTGACCTGCCAGGCTACATTCTCGGATTAGGGTCTTGTATAGATTTTGGTGGGGATCCCCACACCATTTTTTTTTATTTTGACATGGGGGTTCCCCTGAAAATCCATACCAGACCCGAAGGGCTTGGTATGGATGGAGGGGGGACCCCTCGCTGTTTTTCAAATTAATTTTTTAATTGACGGCAATTCTGACAGCTGAAACATTAACGTATGGTTTTCACTACTAATATGGTGCATGACTTGATAAAATAACTCATGCGGTATTTTAGTAGCGTTTTTTGGTGAATTCAAACTTTTTTTTAAAAAATGCTATGCGGTATTCTACCGCATACTCGGATGCGGTAAGATAACGCTTAGTGAATTGCGCCCAGTGAGCTTCTCACTGGGCCCCCTACTGACCCCGGGCCCTCGGGCAATGCCTGAATGCCTGAATGGTCAGTCCGCCCCTGCCTGTGTAGCACTACCCACCTTAGGAGTTGCTAGAACATTTGGGTCCCCCTATAGTCCTGCGAAGCCAGGCATCACATCTTCACAAAAACTTGCATCCAGAATCAGAAATAAGTTCTTGAGATTTGGTTTTGTTGTTTTATTTAAGGGATTTGAACTAGGATAGGGTTAAGGGTGTACAGGATGCCCACGGGTACTGACAAACTGAGGAAAACTTCCCGGAACTAGTTTTCTCCACAACACAGTCTCAGTTGGAGAGCTAGCCAGTGTCTCCTTGGTGTACCATCCCAGACCATAGATAAAAGTCTCCTCTTCACCCAGCAATCTGGAAGTATCCCTGAACAGGGGATCAGGTACATGTCACTCCCGTAGCTAATATGGTTTTCCACCAGAGTGCTCCTTTCCATATCCGCTCAGGAGGTGTATGTGTACTCACTCAGATCCTCTCCTGTACTGCTTGTGGGTTGGTGGCTGCTAATAGGCCTATCAGCTGGGCTGCTCCTTCCCTGCCATACAGGTGGTCCTCTCTCTCAGGGGGCCAGTGAGCTCTGAGCTTTCCTCCTTCCCAGCTCCAGGCCTGCAGGTAGGTCTCATCCCACTGGGCCTCCTCCCTTCAGCCTTACATCCTCCTCTCTGTCTTCCACCTGAACTCTTTTGCAAATGAGTAGGCTCCATCAATTTTAAGGGTGTCCCAGCCCCTTGTCAACTTCTCATTGGGGATTGGTTAGGATCCCTCAAAAGTTCAACCAGCCACTCCCCAGATCCACCCACTGCCTTCAGGGCCTTCTTCCAAAAGCCCTAGAGCTGGGGGAAACTCCAGAGGGGCTGGCCTGAAGAACCTCTCAGCCACAACCACAGTTTGACCCCAGTCTGGCTATTACACCCAATCTGCTACTCATCCTGTCTAATCATTGGAGTCTAGCTCCCCCTAGCTACCTAGGAGACCTACACCTGTATTGCCTACAGTCACCAACTGACGCTGCAATCTAAACATCTCATTAGTTGTATGCAATACATACATCCATTATAGGATATTACAGATGACGCTCAGTATTTTGTGTTGACAGCAAAGTATGGTCGTCAGTTTCTTGCAATTTCTTACACTTGGTTTGAAATAAATGATTGTGTGTTTGTCTGAATATTCCTTGAAAGAAATGGACATTCAATATGTTTCCACTGTTTAACTAAAGTGATCTTTGCACTCCAAACAGTCTAAAGCCTCATGAACCTCATATCCACAGCATGTTGTAGTGGTTGAGTGGATGGGGTCACCAAGTATTTTAAAATGGAACTGAAGGAAAACGTTTTTAAAATTTTGGAGAGAGAATGAGAGAGAGAATATGTGTGTGGTTGGGGTTTTAATCTTTGTCAGTTTTTTTGCCGTCTGTATCCCATTGGGGAGATTTTAGTGCACTTCCTGTTCCATAACCAAAACAGGAAGTGAGAGGATATCCCTCCAAAGTGAGGGAATCCTTTTTTTGCCACCAGGGTCATTATTGAAAGATTTTCCCTTTATTTATGTTCTTGTGACAACAATTGGGATTTTATTTCACTTTCACTCACCTTGATAATGATAAGCAGGACAAGTAAAGAGGGTGAATCTCAGTAACAGGGACATAGACAGCAATAAAATCCCGGCAGGTATTCTAATCCCTCTTCACTCTATCCAAAACATAAAAAAGGTTTTGACTTTAGTTGCATTTTAACAAGTCTATATCTCACCAGAACACCTTCACCGATAAAGCCGTTAAAGGTTCATTAAAGATGTTTATGCACCATCATGCACAAGCAATAAAACAAGCTCAGCAATAAAGAAGGTGTGCTTGTGAGATATATGATTTTCGGCACGGTTTACCTTCCTCTAACCTTGGTACATCCACTCCTACCCAACATGTCACTTATGCTTGTGCTTGTGTTGGATATTTCCAGGACAGAGGGAGCGGGAGGAGTGTAGAACTACAATCACTGTATGACACAGAACACTCATCTCTATACTAAGCAATTGTTCTGTATTTTCCCTTTGTTAATTCTTCTTCCCTTTTCCTGACAGTCTGTACCCATCATCTCTCACTCACGATGGTTATTAAAGCAGGGTGAACTACAACAAATGTCAGGACCACGCACATCCCGGACCCTCCGTACAAAGAAGCTCTTCCGCTCAGTTTATCTCTTCCTCTTCAACGATTTGCTGCTCATCTGCAAGCGTCAGCCTGGGTGAGTGGCATATGATAAAATCAGCTCCAAGTTATTGGTATATTCTAGGAAAGCATAAGGAGAACAACCTACGTGCTTAATATTAATCAAGGCCAACTCTTGTATGGTTCCAATCACTGAAGCCCCACCCCCACCCATAATGGGCCTTCAAAAGGTGACTGCAGGACACAGAATCATGTGAGAGGAGGCTGCAGTCCCAGCCAAAAGCACTGTGATAAACCTGGCTGTAAAGGATTATACAATGCTCAGATTAGTGGTATACTTTGTATATTTTGTTTACTTTTGCACCATTGTGACTTTTCTTGTATAGAGCATTTGAAGTTCCTTATGTCATTCACACAGGCATACCTATCTGCAGGGCCATGGATAAGGGGATACCACCAGTCCTCCTGTATGGGGCCCAGGCCAGCAAGGGGTTCCAGGCAGATGGGTGAATTGGATATGAGCAGAGAGGGTCATCAGCATGGTGGTGGGGGGGGGGGGGGCAATAACTGGAACTGATCCCCTGTATGGCTCTCTCTGCACCAGCTGAAAGCTGGCTTGTTCACCTTTCCCTCCCGCTGGCTTTCAGCTGCGTCAGAGAGATTTACATGCAGGGGATCGTTTCCAGTAATTGCTCCCCCCCTGTACCCTCCCTGTTCACAATACGGTTCCCCCTGTGTCCCAGGCCCACTGTGCACCTCCATAGTGCTGCCGGCCTCCCCCTCTCCAGCACAGAGCACACAATAGAATGCTTCTGGATGTAGAATGGGGGAAGGTTCCAGCAAATATTCACATTTGCCAGCCCCTTTCGTTCCTGAGTGAACACAATGAGTGATCGGTACCAATCACTTGATATGTCTATTCATAACTGACATACAGTCATGGCCGAAATTGTTGGCACCCTTGATATTTCTCCAGGAAATCATGTATTTCTCACGAAACGTATTGCATTAACACATGTTTTGCTATACACATGTTTATTCCCTTTGTGTGTATTGGGACAAAACAAAAAAAGGGAGGAAAGAAAGCAAATTCGACATAATGTCACACAAACCTCCAAAAATGGGCTGGACAAAAGTATTGGCACCCTTTCACAACTGCGGATAAATAAGAATGTTACAAGCATGTGATGCTCCTGTAAACTCACCTGGGGCAAGTAACAGGTGTGGGCAATATAGAAATCACACCTGAAAGCAGATAAAAAGGAGAGACGTTCACTTAACCTTTGCATTGTGTGTCTGTCTGTGCCACACTAAGCATGGACAACAGAAAGAGGAGACGAGAACTGTCTGAGGACCTGAGAACCAAAATTGTGGCAAAATATCAACAATCTCAAGGTTACAAGTCCATCTCCAGAGAACTAGATTTGCCTTTGTCCACAGTGCGCAACATTATCAAGAAGTTTGCAACCCATGGCACTGTAGCTAATCTCCTGGTCGTGGACGGATGAGGAAAATTGATGAAAGATTGCAACGCAGAATAGTCCGGATGGTGGATAAGCAGCCCCAAACATGTTCCAAAGACATTCAAGCTGTCCTGCAGGCTCAGGGAGCATCAGTGTCAGCGCGAACTATCCGTCGACATTTAAATGAAATGAAACGCTATGGCAGGAGACCCAGGAGGACCCCACTGCTGACACAGAGACATAAAAAAGCAAGACTACAGTTTGCCAAAATGTACTTGAGTAAGCCAAAAGCCTTCTGGGAAAAACGTCTTGTGGACAGATGAGACCAAGATAGAGCTTTTCGGTAAAGCACATCATTCTACTGTTTACCGAAAACGGAATGAGGCCTACAAAGAACAAAACACAGTACCTACGGTAAAATATGGTGGAGGTTCAATGATGTTTTGGGGTTGTTTTGCTGCCTCTGGCACTGGGTGCCTTGACTGTGTGCAAGGCATCATGAAATCTGAGGATTACCAAAGGATTTTGGGTCGCACTGTAGGGCCCCAGTGTCAGAAAGCTGGGTTTGCGTCCAAGATCCTGGGTCTTCCAGCAGGACAATGACCCCAAACATACGTCAAAAAGCACTCAGAAATGGATGGCAAAGAAGCGCTGGAGAGTTCTGAAGTGGCCAGCAATGAGCCCAGATCTAAATCCCATTGAACACCTGTGGAGAGATCTTAAAATTGCTGTTGGGAAAAGGTGTCCTTCCAATAAGAGAGACCTGGAGCTGTTTGCAAAGGAAGAGTGGTCCAAAATTCCGGGTGAGAGGTGTCAGAAGCTTATTGATGGTTATAGGAAGCGACTGATTTCAGTTATGTTTTCCAAAGGGTGTGCAACCAAATATTAAGTTAAGGGTGCCAATACTTTTGTCCAGCCCATTTTTGGGGTTTTGTGTGACATTATGTCATATTTGCTTTTCTGCCTCTGTTTTATATTTGTTCCAATACATACAAAGGGAATAAACATGTGTATAGCAAAACATGTGTTAATGCAATACCTTTTTTGTGTGAAATACTTGATTTTCAGGAAAAATATCAAGGGTGCCAACAATTTCGGCATGACTGTATGTGACATTTTGGATATGTCACATTTGCCAGCCCCTTTCTTTCCTGAGTGATCACAATGAGTGATCAGTACTGATCACTTGCTGTGTCTATTCATAACTGACGCCTAGTATAAACTGTTTTTTTTGGGTGGGAATGGGGGTCCTGTCAGGTTGGCTGCTGTTAGAAACCCCATGGTTTCTAACAGCAGCTCTGCCTATCTGTACACCTATGCCAAGGGCCGTCTTTGCTCGCATGGGATGCACGTGTTCCATGCTTTCTTGTGCAGGCAATCACGTTTACTGCATGTCTGTTGGGATGCAGTGGCGGTATGGACAAAGGCTCTGGTTCCAGCTGGACAGCAGTGCAGGTGTGTGTTCCTGAATGCAGACAGTGTGTGTTCAGGGACAAGCAGTCACACAGATGTCATGCTGGGACCAGCAGCTGTTGCATAACAATAGACAGGAATAGCTTGCACAAAACATGTGCATCCTGTGTGGTTAGAGGGACCGTTTGCACGGGTGTACGGATAGAGATGCCTGTATGAACGAGCCAAATTGTGAAGCACAGATCAATGTAAATAAGTGGAGGTTTCTTCTATTATGTTGCACACAAAGCTGAACTCCAGGAATATATTAAAAAACATTAAAGTACTGAATATATAAAGCCATATTTTCATTTGGATTGAGTAGAAATGGTTAAAAGGAAAGAAGATTTATCCTTTACTTCCTGTCCTGCAGACTCAACAGGAAGTGAGTGGATATCTCTTCACTGTGTATCATGGAAACAAGATGTTTTCCTTCTATTCCTGCTCTGTTAATGGTTCTCATCATTTTGAATTGCCCTCACCCTTGTTCCCAGTGACAATAGTGAAAAATACCATCCAGGGACATAGACAGCAATAAAATCATGACAGTAGTTCTATCTCCGCAACACTCTATCCAAATCTAACAAAAAAGTGTATCTTTAGTTATACTTTATAACATTTATATACAAATAAATAAAAATCTAAATTAGCTGCCTTAATTGATCTTCATTCAGCCTACTGCAATCCACTGTACAAAAGAAGAAAATATTCTGATGTGAGAAAAGAGCATACTGAGCAGAGGGGTAACCTCACTGCTACGGCTGCTGCTTCATTGTCCAATCACCAAGCTAAAATTAGGTTTTGACGCAGTTGTGCTGCTGCTGGAGGTCTGAAAGTCAAGCATTTGGCTATACTGTTCATCAAGGGTGCTTGGATCTCAAAACTGGCTGCACAGAACTACAAATCCTTTGGCAGTTTTATATGTATTTCTGTAGAGTGTTTAGCCACTTGCCTGGAGTTCAGCTATAATTTAGAGTACATTTTCTCCAGAAAGTCATGCCAGGTGTCTCTGTAGTGTCATACTTTACTTCCTAGTTTTGTGAGCAACTGTATCAGCTCCCTGAAAAGTCTGTTATATTTTTCAGTAAAACATAAGCTGCTACAGAATTTATATTCTCATTTACCGACAGGGATCGATTCCAGGTGTTTGATGTTGCAGCACGTGGCCTCCTACGTGTAGAAGAGTTGGAAGACCAGGGCCAGACCCTCGCCAATGTGTTTATCCTGAGACTGCTGGAGAATGCACATGACAGGGAGTTTACGTATATGCTGAAGGCTTCATCTCAGTGAGTTCAACCCTCGATGAAAGACCTACCTGCACTGTGTACCATAGTGGAACAAACATATAGGGGTTATTTACTGAAACTGGAGAGTGCAAAATCTGGTGAAGCTCTGCATAGAAACCAATCAGCTTCCAGGTTTTATTGCCAAAGCTTAATGGAACAAGCTGAAGTTAGGAGCGGATTGGCTACCATGCACAGCTGCACCAAATTCTGAGTGCTCCAGTTTTAGTAAATCTTCCCCAATGATTACTCTTTGTTTCTAGTTACTAATGGACTAGAACATTCATACCAGAATGTTCATTTGGGCATTGTGAATTAAAAGTGAAGAATAACAGTATAGAAAACAATCTGATTTCAGCTTTCATCATTCAATGGTGCTTAGAGCAACAGAGTTTACATCTGATTACTGTTTTTTTTTTTTTTTGCATTGCATAAAGTCTATGTTTCATGAGAACACCAGGCCTGTCCCCAGTGCTCCCTCTTAAAAATGTATGCAGTATAAAGGTTAAGATTTATTATTAAGTGTTCTTGCATGGCAAGACCACTTACTGTTATCTCACATATATATTCTTATTATTATAGCCAAATTTACCACCCTAACTCCTCCCACAGTTTTTACACTACAGAGACAGTAATATACGGAAATGTGCGGATTGTTCCTGATTGGTGTGCTATTACTTTGTGGAACGTTTCGCCGAATGGTTCATGAAATATCACCGTTTTTGTGGTGAAATTGGTCCCATAGGAATGAATGGCGGAATGTTCAAAACTAGGGTGGGAGCTGACAAAAGCTAGAGTGTGAGCTGAAAAATCAGGTCATGATCTCTAAACTGCCATCACTCCCTCATTTTCAAGCCCACCTACACAAATCTTATATCAAAACGTTCAGCTATCCCTGCTACCACTAAAAATGTCCACGGCTAAGTCATAGTCCTAATAGTTTTCACAATATGACCATTTGTTTGCAACTCATGCCGCCCATTGACATTCATTGAAACTGCACTCTAGCCACCTCAAATTTGAAGGGCAATTTCTAAACTGCGACTGTGCCTTCATTTTTAATATTTCAGAGACATACTATGTGCTATATAAATAATTAAAAGTTGAAATTGAAATGCATTTCTCACTCTATCAAGCTTGCCATGTGCACTTTTTAAATTTGATGAATCAATTGGTTAGTGTAATGTTTACTATCTTTACTCACTCCAAACACTCCACACAGTTACTCTGCCCACTCCATAAAGTTACTTTGCCCAGTCCAACCTTTTCACAGTTACTCAAGCCACTCCAACCACACAACAGTTACTCAAGCCACTCCACCCAGTTACTCCGCCCACTCCAGTTGTAGACTACTGGTGGAGGGAAGAACACCTCACACAATTTCCCCAGAAATTGTAGCTTTTCTAGTTATTACGTGTTCTTGCATGGCAAGACCACTTACTGTTATCTCACATATATATTCTTATTATTATAGCCAAATTTACCACCCTAACTCCTCCCACAGTTTTTACACTACATAGACAGTAATATAGCGAAACGTGCGGATTGTTCCCAATTGGTGTGCTATTACTTTGTGGACTGTTTCGCCAAATGGTTCACAAAATATCGGCGTTTTTGTGGTGAAATTGGTTCCATAGGAATGAATGGCGGAATGTTCTAAAATAGAGTGGGAGCTGACAAAAGCTAGAGTGTGAGCTGAAAAATCAGGACATGATTTCTAAACTGCCATCACTCTCTCATTTTCAAGCCCACCTACACAAATCTTATATCAAAACGTTCAGCTATCCCTGCTGCCACTAAAAATATCCACAGCTAAGCCATAGACCTGATAGTTTTCACAATATGACCATTTGTTTGCAACTCACGCCGCCCATTGTCATTCATTGAAACTCCATTCTAGCAACCTCAAATTTGAAGGGCAATTTCTAAACTGCGACTGTGCCTTCATTTTTAATATTTCAGAGACATACTATGCATCAAAATGTAGGTCTGGGTCTTGTGATTCTCACAGACTACTGGTGGAGGCAAGAACACTTAACACAATTTCCCCAGAAATTGTAGCTTTTCTAGTTATTTTTATTATACAGTATTTATAAAGCACCAACAGTTTGCTCAGCGCTGTACATTACAAAGGGGGACAGAACATGCGACAGTACAACAATACAATGCAATACACAAGGAGTACGAGGGCCCTGCTCTTTCGACCTTACAACCTAGGAGGGAGGGGATAGTGGTACAGGACGAGATCGCTGTGGGGGATGGAGTGGTAGGAAGAGTGGAGGAGGTCGGCAAATTAGCAGGGGGTGGGGTAGACTTCATCCCAGTGAGTACAGTGATACACTGATATCCATGCCTATTAGACACTATATTGTATTTCCATCTCACTAATGCTTTCATATTGTGCATAGGACAGTAGTCTGCCCTGGGAGTTGTACAAGTCCTATGTGTACATTCCCTCAATTTCAGTAATAACATTCTGTCAGTGAAACAGTTTACAATCCCCATTCTGTTCTCTTATGGCACTTTCCAGACCTCTGTATAAGGTTCCCATCTCACAGGTTACGTTCTATGAATAACCGAAGTCTACAGTTGTATGAAATAGAATTTAGTATTGCAGTAGTAGGGTCAGCATGAATGTCCGTATTCCATGAAATGTAAAATGGATGTGTCTTTCAGGAGTGAAATGAAAAGATGGATGACGTCATTAGTTCCAAACCGAAGAACAAAATTTGTTTCTGTTACTACTCGAGTTTTTGGTAAGTATTAATACCATCTTCGTCAGTGCAGATAAATACTTTGGTTCATCATCAGTCACCATTACTGTTGCTTCATGCATGCTTTTACCTATTGCCCTGAGGGTGGTTGACACACAGCCAGTGCCTTTCTTAAGATTTCATGATCACCTGCTTTGTTATTACAAGATGTTTTTAGCTGTAGCGCTCTGGCTCATGCCCAGTCTTTGATCTTCATATTCTTTCCAGCTGCTTGTTCAGTGGTTAACCAACTAGTCATTACACACCCTTCACTAGAGAACCAAGTCCTAGGTCTTTAACCTACCAACAATGTTTAACAGCAACTTATGTGCCCCCTCTGGTTGCTTCTACAAAGGGGCCCCTGGGTAGAAGAGATCCTATCTTAGTAGCTGAGGCCCCATGGATACTTTATCTGAGCATTATGGATATGTGTCAGTCTGTGAAGACTGCAGAATTAAAACAGATTATTGATTTAAAAAATTGAATTTTGGTTCTTCAAATGCTACTGTTTCTGGAAGGGAGAAGACACAGCTATTTTTAACTTACATTTGAATGAAAAAATAGGCCATTATAAAGCAAAAATAAACCATTGTTGTAAACACTTTTATGCCACATCAAAGGAGAATACAACAAAACTGGCATTACATTTAATGAGTTCTTTATGTTAACTAGTAAACAAATTCACATTTTTATCTTGTGCATGCATCACTGGCTCTGTTGGTAATAAGTTGTCATAGATTATTATGCATTGTTTAAATTCCTGAGTCCCTTGAAATCCTTTCTCCGCTTGGGGAGAACCAAGATAGTTCATGTCTAAAATAAAATTTGTGATATAGGACAACTAGGTTACATTATACAGCATCCTAAAACAAATGTCTAATAGACAGCATTTTTAGTGGAAATGTGTAGAGAACCATCTATGGTGGTATGTTTGGATAAGCTCAGAGATCTACAGTTGGGATGATATGGGAATGCAACCCTAGGTGTGTGTACATAGATAACATTTGCTGTAAACATGTGCGTGCAGCCAGCACTGAAACACACACTTTGGGTGCACCTAGCTTTTCAAAGTCCATCCAGTACGGTTATTTGAATTCTACATCCAGCTACTCTTCAGTCCAGGCCAGGCAACTAGTGGGTCAACGTGGCTATTCTCAACACTGTGTTGATAAACATTACTGACTTTATATTGTGTATTTTTTTGTAATTCTTTTATTTAGCCATAGGTTGCATTACAGAAATCAAGTCAAAGATATTGCATGGTACAATTACTGAGGCATGCAGGTATCATAGACAGCATCAGAACTATGAGGTCAATTCAACGAATAGGAGGACCCAAGAAACAAGTTTTATTTCAGTCAGTTGTAAATAAAACTGAGGCGGCGTAATGATAAACTCCTCTGAGGTTAGCAACCTACACAGATAAGCCCCAGCTTACAAATGCAACCATATTGAATGTAAAATAAAAAATATTAGTGCCCTGGTGGCCAGTATAGCCCAATAAGGGCACATGGACTAAAGAGGGGATGAATAACTGCAGCAAAAACTGCAACTGGGAAATCTCTAAGCTAAATGGGGGGAGGCTACATGAGAGAAAAACAAAAGGGGGAAGGGAGAGGAGTGGAAGGGAAAGAATAGATAAAGGTATGAAAAGAATCCAGATAGAGTCAGTAAGGACCAGGAAAGCAAACTCTATCACCTGGAGCTCCACAAGAAAAAATCCCCGCCATCTTAGCCGGGCTGCGAGACCTCCTGTATTTTTGCATCAGTATAAAAAAAAATATTGCCACGGTCTCCAAGTATCACAAAAGGACTCCTCCTGATTGTAGAGGGTAGCCATAAGGTCTTCCATGTCCCTGAGTTCATTAACCTTAGAAAACCAAAGAATTTGAGGGCAGGTACCCAGACCTCCAGCTCAAGGCAATGTATGCCTTGGCCGCATTTTGTAACTGTATAGTGAGAGAGGCCTTGTTTTTTTTAATGGATTGTTGCAAGAGGCGCACAGGCATGCCGCAGGGTTACCTGCCAAATCAACATTAGTCAGGTGTTTGATGGCACCAGCCACCTCCTGCCAAAATGGTCAGATTTTCGGGCAATCCCAGAAAATGTGGAGCATCATACCCTGACCGTTGCCGCATTGCCAGCACATACCGGGTACCTACGGGAAAATACAATGCAGGATCATAGGCACCATGTACCAACTAATCAGAATTTTATATCTGGTCTCTTGGACCTTGGTGGCTATGGAGGTAAATCTTAAACCACAATACAACTGTCACTGTTGATCAGCAGGACAGCCAGCTCCTGACACTCATTCCCCATAGTGAAGATTTACATTGGCTGTGTAACACATGCCATCCAGACTGAAACTTCATCTCTGAACACAGTGACCAAAGAAAAAGTCTATACTATTAAAAACTGATCTTATGGACATACTGGACAAATTCAATAGTAAAATGACTCTTGCGTTACTGACTTCCATGGTAGTCCAGTGGATTTGGAATTCTAGAGTTCAGTCTTCACCTGATGCTTGCTTGTTTGAGTCAGAGGTATTAAGAGAGCAGAGACAACTGGGTAGCCTATATTTTCTGGAACCCAGCAATTAAAGTCTGCAAACTTCCTCATCCTTGTTTCTTGGCTCTTCAATGGGACTGACACTATGTAGCTGTAGTGGCCCTCCCTTGTCATGAATTGTGCAGTCGATAGGTTCACTTCTGACAAATGCTTTATATTTCTATACACTCTGTTATTCATTCATGTGTTGCATGCTTGCCTCACTTCAGTATATCTAATGTTTGTTTGCTCACTTCTCAGACTGCCCGCAGGTGCAATGCGTTCACCCATACATTGCCCAGGAGCCAGACGAGCTGTCTCTGGACCTGGCAGACCTGCTCAACGTCCAGGACAGGACAGATGACGGTATGTATCCTGCTGGAGACAGGCTGGGGTCCCTAGGGATGCTTGCAGACTGAGCTCCCTAATAAAAGGCTGACAGATTCCAGGAGCAGAATATGTGTGTCGCAGTAACAGAATGAAATTCTTTCAGAGCAAATGACATGGAATAACTATTTATGACACAGTGACAGATTTCATCTGCACAGCTATTATTTGGATATGGAAATGGGCCGCTTCCAAATATGCTTTTGTGTCATTTCGCTGAAACACACAAGCAGATTTCATTTATTCTGCTCACATTTCAATAGCTGTCTGCAGAGCTGAAATGTTGTGCTTGGGACTACATAGATCTATAATCACTTAGTAGCATCTAATTTATTTCTATCTGGCAGATACTGCTTTTGCAGTACGTTGAAATCAACAGGAAGTTAAAGGGGAACTCCAGTCTGGGTTATTGTGTTGTATATAGCGTGTCTTTCTTCTTTTTCCTTTCGGTTGCTGTACTCATTAGGTTTACAATTTACAAAGCCGCACCTTGATGATGGAGGAGGGGGTTACTTTTGGATGGAATAGCATTGAATGTGGTGGCTAGTTTGATCTTCTGCAACCAATAAATCTGTGTATTTGGGAACATTTACAGAAAGGTCACCCAGGCAGTCCAAGCCAATTGTATTTTTAGCAGTCAGTTTGGATGGTAAATCTCCCCCCCTAGTGGTCAGAATTGCACTGCACAAGAAGCAAATGGTACCCTGGCAGGTCTACATGGACCAGTTAGAAGAGAAATAACGACCCAGATCCAATGGAGAACAAGTCATTTATTCATGGACAAAAGTCACATACAGAATTGCACGCCTTTGTATTTTTTGTTAATGCATGTTAGAATGTAGTTCTGGGCTCAATATGTGTGAGTGTCTTAATACATGAACTGTATATGTTCCTGCTAACCTCCACAAAGCCACAATTGTCATTGGTCATCCTTGCTTGTTTGGATTTGATCACTTTGCTTCGCTTGCATTGATTGCTGAAAGGTTCTGCCTTCATTATAGAAGTCACAGCACTTCAGGAGGCATTAGCATGTCACATTTTTGGTACAATCCGTGATAAAATACCTCTATTATCACTTTACAAATGTTCTCATTTACACTTTCCAGGACATGTGTAAGGAAATGGGGATCTTATTCACCTAAATGACTTAAAGAAAACCTGTACAGATAGGTAGACTGCCTGACATTGTGGACCTTTGCATCGGACTTCAATACTTTGTATCACAGACCTGCAGAAAGTATTTAGGCAAAATAAACATTCCAAAAGCACTAAAGCCATTTGATCATCATGTCAGCTGAGGAACTGGTATTTTCAGAAGGTGGGGGTCAGCAAAGGGCAGTCTCCATGCCTCCTGAAGACAGAATCTTTTATACACCAACAGTACCTGTGAGATTAAAGTACAATTGCCCATCCACAGCCCAAGGAGCCCTATAAATTGTAATACTGGCCATGGCCAATACTGGGGACAAAATTTGACTTAGTCATGAATGTCAGAATGGGGTGTACCATTCCTGTTCTCCTAATGGTCCCAAGTGTTCCCTAGCTGCCAGTGGGTAAAGTGTGAATCGTGGACACATGAGCTGTTAAAGCTCAACTCCAAGGGGATGTTAAAACATACAAGTCTTACTAATTATTACATATATTTTTAAATGCAATCACTGTAAGTACTTGAATCTCTGTTGATATTGGCCTCATATAGTTCCACATACAGCAGCACTGGTAAAGCCCAGGATAGAACTAAGGCATGAAGCATGCTTACAGGAGGAGAGAGCAGAGTGAGCAGTGGGGTGGTCAGATCAGTGCAATACTGCTGTACTGTCCAATAAACAAGCCGAGAGTGTGTTCATACAAGGTGTGCTGCTGATGCAGTAAAAGTTAGGGAACTGGCTGTGTTGTCTGGAAGGGGTGCCTGAATCACACAAGGGGCTGGACAAAAATCACAAACCCTTTGACAGATAGACCCAGTTCAACTGTGTAGTTTGACTGCTTGCCTGAAGTTCAGTTTTAAAGTGGTTGTAAACCTCTGACATGAAATGTGAACAAAGCATATTCCTCCTCTTTAGTGTCTATTTGTCTCAGTCCAGAGCACTAAGTATCATTTCATCATTTCTGTCTGCTGATTTATTCCTCTGATAGTGCATGAGTCACTTCTGACAAGTTTTTCTGACACCAAGAGAAAAAAAAGGTGACAGGCAAGGGACACACAGCCTGTGACTGACAGCCTCAGCTCTATTCCTGTGTGAAGGGGGTGTGTTCCTTCCCTCCAATCGGTTTTCTAAAGTGTACCTACAGCTCCCCACCCCCTGCTTTTTGGAAGCTCAAACAAGCTGTATAAATTCTGCACTCTGAATGTTTGTAGAGGACAGATTTCTACAGATAAACAGGTACCACTTGGATTTGTTTACTCTACAGTGGGTATAGAAAAGAATCACCCACCTTTAAAATAATCACATTTTGTTGCTTTTCAGCCTGAAATTAAGACAGGCATAGTTTGTTTTATCCAGTTGTATTTAGTCAGTGTAACTTCAGTGCAATTTCAGCTAAAAAAATTCAAAAACAGAATCACTGAGTTAGAAAAAAGATCACCCCCCTCCTATAACACTGAGCTTCCCTGGATCAGGACATCGCACCAAATTGGATGAAAGAGCCAGGAGGAAACTGATCAGAGAGGCTACCAAGAAGCCTACAGCAGCTCTGAAGCAGTTGCAGGAATTGATGACAAAGAGTGGTCATTGTGTGCATGTGACAACAATATCACAAATTCTCCACAAATGTGGCTACTATGGGAGGGTTGCAAGAAAAGAGACATTCCTCAAGAAAGGCCACATGTAGTCATGACTGAGCTTTGCCAATACGCACCTTGATGATTCTGAGGCCACATGGAAGAAGGTGTTATGGTCAGATGAGACTAAAGTTGAATTATTTGGCCTCAACACTAAACAATATGTCTGGAGGAAATCCAATCCAGCTCACCATCCAGATAACACCATTCCTACAGTACAGCATGGAGGTGGTAATATCTTGTTATGGGGGTGTTTCTCTGCAGTAGGGACTGGAGCACTTGTCAGGATAGAAGGAAAAATGGATGGGGCAAAATACCGTCAAATTCTTGAGGAAAATCTGCTGCCCTCTGCCAGAAAGATGTCAATGGGAAGAAGGTTTACCTTCCAACATGACAATGACCCAAAACACACAGCAAACATGATCACACAGTCATTGAAGGAGAAAAATGTCAATGTCCTTGCATGGCCTAGTCAGAGCCCAGACTTAAACCACATTGAAACTCTGTGGAATGACTTGACGACTGCAGTCCACAAACGGTCGCCATCACATTTAACTGAACTTGAGCAGTTCTGCAAAGAGGAGTGGGCAAATATTGCAAAGTCTAGATGTGAGAAGTTAGTAGAGACATACAGTTGCAAGAAAAAGTATGTGAACCCCTTGGGATTACGTGGAGTTTTGCATGAATTTGGCATAAAATGTGCTCTGAACGTCATCTAAGTCAAAACAATAGAAGAACACAGTCTGCTGAACATAATACTACACAAACATTAGATGTTGCCATGGTTTAATTGCACATAACATGTAAACATTCACAGTGCAGGGAGGAAAAAGTATGTGAGGCCCTAGCTTAATGACTTCTCCCAGAGCTAATTGGAGCCAGGAGTGAGCCAACCTTGACTCCAATCAGTGTGATGATATTGGGTGTGTTGCTGACAGCTGTCCTGCCCTTAAAAAACACACACCTGTTTTGGGTTTACTGGTTTCAAGAAGCACTGTCTGATGTGAACCATGCCTCGCAGAAAAGAGCTCTCAGAAGACTTACGATCTAGAATTGTTGACTTGCATGAAGCTGGAAAGGGTTACAAAAGTATCTCCAAAAGCCTTGATGTTCATGTGTCCACAGTAAGACAGACTGTCTACAAATGGAGAAAGTTTAGCACTGTTGCTACTCTCCCTAGGCGTGGTCGTCCTGTAAAAATGACTGCAAGAGCACAGCGCAGAATGCTGCATGAGGTAAAGAAGAATCCCAGAGTGTCAGCTAAAGACCTACAGAAATCTCTGGCACATGCTAACATTTTTGTTGACACATCTACAATAAGAAAAACATTAAACAAGAATGGAGTACATGGGAGGACACCACGGAGGAAGCCATTCCTGTCCAAAAAGAATATTGCAGCACGTTTAAAGTTTTCAAAAGAGCACCTGGATGTTCCACAGCACTACTGGCAAAATATACTGTGGGCAGATGAAACCAAGATTGAGTTGTTTGGGAAGAACACACAACACTATGTGTGGAGAAAAAAAGGCACAGCACACCAACATCAAAACCTCATCCCCACTGTAAAACATGGCGGAGGGAGCATCATGGTTTGGGGCTGCTTTGCTGCCTCAGGGCCTGGACGGATTGTTGTCATTGATGGGAAAATGAATTCCAGAGTTTATCAAGACATTTTGCAGGAAAACGTACGACCATCTGTCCGCCAACTGAAGCTCCGCAGAGGATGGGTGATGCAACAGGACAATGACCCAAAGCATACAAGTAATTCAACAAAACAATGGCTGCAACAGCACAAAATACGCCTTCTGGAGTGGATCAGTCAGAGTCCTGACCTCAACCCCATTGAAATGCTGTGGCATGACCTTAAGAGAGCGATTCACACCAGACATCCCAAGAATATTGCTACACTGAAACAGTTTTGTGAAGAGGAGTGGTCCAAAATTACTCCAGATCGTTGTGCAGGTCTGATCTGCAACTACAGGAAACGTTTGGTTGAGGTTATTGCTGCCAACGGAGGGTCAACCAGTTATTAAGTCCAAAGGTTCACATACTTTTTCCTCCCTGCACTGTGAATGTTTACATGTTATGTGCAATTAAACCATGGCAACATCTGTTTGTGTAGTATTATGTTCAGCAGACTGTGTTCTCCTATTGTTGTGACTTAGATGACGTTCAGAGCACATTTTATGCCCAATTC